TTATCTCTTCCATGCATCCACATCTTAAATCTTCCCTTATTTAAAATGTCAAAGCTTACGCTGGATGACCCACGATTAGTTAGTTATTCATGTTAAACATTATAATGACACCATTTGATTGAAAAAACTAAAAAAACTGTACTATTAAAGTGTAAATATGAAGATTTGGTATGGTGGGTGAGGCCTGAGATGCATATTTAAATGGGTAGAACTTATTTTATATAAACAATTTAGTCAAAAACATGCTTGCATCAGTAAAGAAGAGAGATTATATACTAAGACATAAACGCATAGAGATTATATACTAAGACATAAACACATTTTGCACAATTAATATATAGTAGTGTGTTTCATAACTTCAATTTTTTCACCAAAATTGTTCTTAGAAAATCACTTGAGCATAGTTTTTTTTTTTTGAATAATTGATAGACAATAAGTAAGAATATTTTTTAAGTAATTAAATTAATTAGGTCCTTCGAAAAGAAAATGCTACTCACATTATTAATTATTGTTTGCTTAAGGACAAATCAACACGAGAAAAAAGATGTGATAAAATGAAGAGAGCACTAACTAAAGAATGTTTTTCCCCAAAAGTCAAAGTCATTATGCCATTGTCAAACATAATTCCTCAATCTTTTTGACTTCAAAAATTGGACTACAAAAATTAAAATGTGGAGATGTTAAAGAAATGATTGAAAGATTATAATTTTTCCTGTCCCCATTATAAGTTTAAAATATTTTTTATTTCATCTCCTTAATTTTTTCTTCAAGAATCCTAATAGTAACATAAAAATAATGAGATACTGTGACATTTCTTCTTTCCTTGTATTTGGAATTAATTTATAAATAATCTATTTATGTAATACTTTTTTATACCTTCTGCATAATATATTAAATTTAATTATATAGTAGTCGGTATCCAATGTTAGGTAGTTAACAGATAAATATTGGAAGACTAGTTAGAATATATATATGCCATTATAAAATTGTGCATAGGATACTAAAAAACAACACACAAAAATAAGTTCTTTCTGCCTTTGAATTTTTTTACAAATTTTTGCTGTTATAATTTTGAAAATGGTTACACTTTTCGATTTGTTCATAAACTGCTGATCGAATAGATGCCTTCCTATCTTTGTTCAATGGTCAATAAAGCATTTCGGCTACATTGTACTATTACTATCCCATAGTCCTCAATCTTAACATGCAGTGACGGATCCAGGATTTAGAGTTCGTGGGTGCCAAATAGACTTATCGATTAAATTAATTTTATATTTGATTAAATTATTTGTCTTTTCGATATATATCATAAATCAATCAATAAAATGTAAATAATAAGATATTACACTTTTATTGAGTATTTAATCAAATAAAAGAAAAGTCAAAGGAGTAATAATGTAATTAATTTAATTTAAGTCAATAACAATTATAAATAAATAAAAATAAAAATTGTGCCAGCTATTTTTCCTTAAAAAAACGTGCTTGGAGCCTTTTTTTTTTCTCTTAAAAAACGTCTGCATCAAAATTCTCAAAAAAATAGGTACAAATGGGATTCGAACCCGCAACATCAGCCATCTAAAGTTGCCCTCCTACCATGGCACCACAAGACAGTTTTGTTCTGTGGGTGGCACGCTTTATATTTATATAAATATTATATATATATACCTACGTATATAGAGTTTCCGTCGAAGTTCGGGGGTGGCGTGGCACCCCCAAACCTCTGCATAGATCCGCCACTGTTAACATGTGTTTCAATCGTATATTGTCTCACGTAGTAAGCTATATTTGTCATGTCCTATCTAATCTTCTCTATTGAATACCCCTTACGTCTATCTCTACCTCTCCTTAAATCATTCATACTCAACCTCTCACGCCTTTGCAATAAGATATCCATACATGATACATCTCCTCTTCACATTCTTGAACCATCTCTCGCTTCTCACATTGACCCTCCCACCCGATAAAAATAAATCGATTTGTAATTTTGATCAACATGATAATGAAATATTTTTCAAAAGAATAAAATTGCCTTTACACTATTTGAAATGGTTGAATTTTATTCATTTGTAACTATAAAAGCGTGAAACATAAATTAAAGGAGCATGATTCTTTTTAGTACTTATTAAATAAAAAATAAACATTTGCATTGGATCTATAACCAAAGAGTCCAAATTTATTATCAAAAGTCATCCATTTACGTTCAAGAAAGATGCTCTTACTATTTCTCAAAATTCAAATTTAGGACACGTGTGGACTATATTTGTATGTGCAATAAGCACGCAAAAAAGGCCGAGTAAATTAAACTAAATTATAAAGTATATAGTACGTCGTATACATTATTAGTATTATCTTTGGCAGTATTTATCTGACTTTAATTTGTAATTAGGTTCCTCTAAAATATATGCATGATACTTTGAGTCATTTTTCTTCCAAAGGTAACATCAATTTCATATTTGAACTCACACTTTGTCGGGAAAGAAAGGAAAATAGAGTTCAACATGGTCAATGGCAAAGGCAAAATATTTTCATCACGAAGATTCAACATCTGTTATATATATTTATTTCACTTGAAAAAGAAAAATTGAATATACATAAAACGAATTCATAGGAAGAGCCATATGGAACATTTCACAAATGGTTCAAAAGTCGAGTCCCTTGCTCAACGGTTAATTAAATCAACACTTATATAATAACTGGTCATCAATTAATCAAGGCGAAATCTAAAACTTTCTAGTGACTTATTGTAACCTAACACCCTAAGACTTCAATTTATTCACACAACAAATTATTAATTAGAATAGTTGAGGGGAAGGGGGCAGCCAACGCACATTATCATTTTATAGAAGATCAGAATCGACTATTTTCAAGATTTAACTTCAATTTTTTGTATAATATAATGTGATTTTTAATAAAGAGATCAAATGAAATTCTTCTACACTTTAGGTAACACTGTTTCTAATGAGAGACATCTACCATTAGAGGTTTAGAGTTTGAGCATTATTAATAATAGAAAAATATCTGATGATAATTGATAGGTATACTACTTTCTCTATTTTATTTTTTTTGGTTTCCCACTCGGTGTTCGGTACCCACATTAGAGCCCGACTAAATTCGGATTCGCACCGAGAAATTCTAGATTGAGGGTAAAGGCTTCCTAAGAAAGGCGACTCCATACCCAAGGGGGCTTGAACCCGAAACCTCTTGATTAAGGATGAAGAAGTACTTACCACTCCACCACAATCCTTACGAGCCTTTATGTGATGTGAGTTTTGAGAATACAAATTGTTATAACAACAATATATATGAAGTGGAGTGTGAAAGGAAGTTATTTTTCTTCTCATTTAGCTAAAGTAGACCCAACATTTACTTTCTTCTACATTAGTTGCTTTGCTTTTTTCACTTTAGCAAACCAAACAAGAAAAGGAAAACTTCTGAAACCTCCCTTTTTTCTTTCCTTTATATCTATATTTCTCAAATAAAGGAAACCCCACTAACAAGGGCTGTGGTGAAGTAGTAAGTACACATTCATCCTTAATTAGAGTTTTCAGTTTGAGTCTCCCTAGCTAGCTACATAGTCGTCTTTGTTAGGGGGTGTTTTACCCCCAATGTGGGACTTCCTGATGCGAATCCAGATTTAATTAGACTCCAATATGACTATCAAACAATAATGGTAGGAACCAAAAAAGAAAAACCCCACCCACCCTTAATTGACTCCTAATAATATAAAACTTAATATTTTCTTCTTTTAACATAAAGAGTAACATAGTAACACCTAGATGAGCTTCAACCCCACCAGAAATCTTAATTATTATTGTTTTCCACCTAAATTATGAGAAAAAGTAACCACTTCATGTTATTGAAGTTTAAAAATTGGGACTATGAAATGTAAATTAATTTTTGAAAAAGAAAAAGAAGGCGCCAAAAAAGATGTCTTATCAGGAGAAATTACTTTTAATTTGTTAGACCAAAATCTGTAGAGACTTCCAGCTTTGGGACCCTCACGCATACGAAATTTCAAGTCACATTCAATCGGAAAGGATGTTATTTCGAATGCATTTCAAGTAATTATAGTAAAATTTTGACTTGTTGTCCCTTTGATCGTGATAAGTGAAACAATAACACAAAAATTAAATGAAATGAGTCATCTTTAGTGACGACGCTAGAATTTTAAAAAAAAATAATACTCAAATAAATTAAGGGAATTTAACATAGATATAGTATATGTATCATCTTTTAAATTTATTTATACATGTGGAACTCAACACCCTGCCCTGCCATATGCATGACTATGACTAGAACTGAAAAATCTGAAACATGAACAATATAAGATGAGAATCTAACATCAGGTTAAACAATGACTATCAATTGTATCAATACATATATATATATATATATATATGGAAAAAAAGTATGAAATATATCCGAACTTTGACCACAAGTGCTGTAACAATACTGAACTTTGGAAATGACCTTTTACCCATTGCATTATTTAATAGTGTATTTTAAAGGTATTTATGTACCCATGTGGACATCATAAATATTGTATCATTATAAATAGTAACGTGTCCATGTGGGCACATATATACCTTTAAAATACACTATTAAATAGTACAGGGGGTAAAATATCTTCCATAAAGTTTGGTATCATAACAACAACTTCAACCAAAATTGGAGTATTTTTCAGACCCTTTTTCCCGTATATAATAAAGGCCTATAATAAAATAAAACTCTGATCCTTTTCATTAGCATAGTTCCCTTTACATGCATAAAAATCCATCACCTTCTATCCTCCCACCTGCCTCCCACTTTTCCATTCCTACACTTTTTTTCTCTCTAGAATTATTTTCCCTTGTTAGATACTCTTTTATTGTTTCTCTTTCTCTACTATATATACACACCAACACTTGACTTTCTCTACTATATATACCTTTCTACATATATACTCTCTCCTTCAATAAGTGTCAAACTAGTATACTATATACTACAATTAGCTACTACTACTCCAACATCATATGATGAAGGAGTGTGGAAAAAATAGTAGCTCACCATGTGCAGCTTGCAAGTTATTGAGAAGAAGATGTGGCCATGACTGTGTTTTTGCACCTTATTTCCCTGCTGATGAACCTCACAAGTTTGCTAATGTTCATAAGGTCTTTGGTGCTAGTAATGTCAGCAAAATGCTACAGGTTCCACCTTTTATATATCTTCTTTTTATCTTCCTAACTTAACATCTCTACTTCTAATTAGGGCTATCTTCTACAATTCAACACCTTAACTATCTATAAATTCGAGTAGTGGAATCAGTCGTCGTCACTGATGTTTGTGTCATGCATGATAGTAAGATTGCTTATATCACCCCCTTGAGGACCCTTGATCCTAAATGAATACAAGATATTTCGTGCACCAGATTGTTATATGAAGTATTCAACATGAGATGGATCTAGAGATAAGCTTATTTAATTAAATAAAAATATTGGACATGGAACCTATACATGCACTTGGTCTGAACATGCTATAATAGAGAAGAGATAATGTATTTTAACATGTCACATGCAATAAAATCCAAAAGGTTGGAGTAAATATAAGCATAACAGACAAGTATATAAATATGATAAATATATAATCGCTTAAATTAAGTATCATAAATTATGGAGTATTTCTTAAAAGGCACCAAATAATGTTTATGCTTGAGCCTAATACGGTATAAAAAGTTTTAACCATATTTGTCCTCTAGCTATTGATCAAAATGTGCCAAACAATCACATAATTAGGAACAATGTACTATATTATTGGGTCAAGTATTTAAATTTTCACTTTCATCTTAACTTCAGTAGTGAACCACAATACTAACTACAAATTCAACATAAATCAATAATTAATTTGATTCGAAAAATCATATATTTATGTTAACAAAATTATTTAATACGTATAAATAATCTATTCAAAAATCTCAACAATGTTAGCTTTATTATGACAAAAGTTGTAGGGTCGATAGACTAGGGGAACAAAGAGATGTTTGTTAGTTGTTGAAAAACCGTTTCATTTGTTAAATGTGGAAAAAGTTTTAAGTAGTCTATTTTTGTCCCACATCAAATCCTAGAAAATATTGACAATTGAATATAATAAAATTTGAAATTTTGATGATCAAACAACGATTTTCGAGACATTTTCTCATGTTGAATGGGTCCTTAATTTGGAACCATAATCTCCATTCTCCATGTCCAATTGTTTCTTTATTTTCTTAAAATTTGAAAGTCAATTAATTTATTCAATATGAATATGGTCACTATCACAATATATATACTTTTTACAACTGAAATCTTAGGTGGACACATGATGTTTTTTCCTATCGTCATTTTTCATAAAATTTCTGGGGTTGTTAAATGGTCTCCTATTTTAAAATTTTAAAGGACAAAAGAATCAACTTTACTTCAAGAAAATGAACACATTTATTCTTTTGACCACATATATATACATATTTTGATAGTAACATATCACCTCTTAGCCATAATTAAAGACTTCTCTGATTTGACCTAAAAAAAGGTGATTTCTCTCTCTTTTTCCCTTTTCTCCTTTCATTTTTTCAACTAAACACTCCTTTTTAGTTATTTTCATTTTTATGACACAAAAATGATGTCAATATGACATACTCTTTGAAGATACCTTCTTGGGGTCCTCAAGGTGCAAATCAAGCCCATTAATTAGCCTATCAAACTTATTAGGGTAACTTACAAGATATTGGTGCGTACATGTATTTCGAGATACATAAGGTCAAAATTAAGTGTAATTTTTTCTACATACATTGTATCTAAGTGGATTCACATGTATCTGAGATACAAGTGACAAATCTCGTTCGCTTTCCTCATAACTCGCTCTTCGATCTCCTATCTCGCTCGTGTATGGTATCTCAGATACATGTGAATCACACCATATACATGTATCTGGTGTGATTCGCATGTATCTGAAGTATATGGACAAGTCTAGCTCGTCTCCCTCTTGTTCTTGCTCGCCTCTCTCCCTATTTCAGTGTGTCTGGTAGCAGAAAAAAAAACATGTATCTAGGTAATTCTGATATGAAAATATTAATTAGTAAGACAATAGGTAATTATTTCAAACTATATGGAGAAGTAGTAAATATGGTAAAAAGCCCATAAGGATTTTGTCTCCAAAGTTACTAATTAATGACATAGCACATTATGGCTATGATAAAAGTTGTACATGCTAACCACTTTTCGGATCGATTTTTGAATAATAATTAGTTCTTGAAAATTCATAAAAGTAGCCGTTTTATATGCAAAAACACAATGACAGTGTCATGGATTTCGATCTTAACGTAAAATGGCGTAAAATTGCAGGAATTGCCAGAGCACAAAAGAGGAGATGCAGTGAGTAGCATGGTGTATGAAGCTAATGCTAGAGTTAGAGATCCAGTTTATGGATGTGTTGGAGCCATTTCATCTCTTCAACAACAAATTGATATGCTAAGAACCCAACTAGCCATGGCCCAAGCTGAGGTTGTCCAATTGAAGCTAAGACAATCAACAAACATTACTAATAGCCCACCAAATAGTGGGTCACCCATTATGGGCTCAGTGCCCAAAGGATATTACCATATGGATTTGGATGTAGATCAGTCCAACACCTTCAATGAGCCTATGTGGCCATATTAGATGAATTTTGTTGTCTATTTAAACTTCAAAAATTATCTTGTGTCCTTTTGCCTCTATATATCTTTTTCTTATAAGAGCAAAGGTGATGATTAGGTTGTTGTTTGTGAGCTATGTTGTTCAGACTCTTCCAAAATGTCGACATGTGCGTGTCTGATCCACACGGATGTGACATCATTTTTAAAAAGTCCGAACAACTTAGTTTGTGAGTGTGTTAGAATGAAATCAAACCCTTCATGGGGTGTTCGGCCTTTTGGCAAAAAAAGATTATACTATCATCTTTGTTCTTGTGTATATATATGTAATAGGAAATTTTTCTTAAAAGGACATTGTGCTTTTTTTCCCAATCTTGATTGAAGACATTAAAGTCCCTTAATATACTTAACAACTAATGGTCCATAAAACTCTTATTTAACCGTTTGATATCTGAAATTCATGTCGCGCATAACACATTTAAAGGAGAAGAATTCCCTCGAGACCTCTATTTAAGGATAGAGCCACGACAATATCTATTGATACTTATTACAATCTTAACATCATAACATATAGAACTAATTAACAATCATCCACCACAAGATCTACACATAGTATATATGAAATTCTCAATGTTTTTTCATAATATAAACAAGTGAAAGCGCGATTACATGAGAATATCAAATTAGACATTAGGATCAATGAGATCTCCATTCAAGTACTCTCTGTAAGCAGCAACAGGCCAGATGAAGCCTCTCCAAACGAGCCTATTAGCCAACGGAACGTCGATTATAATTTCTTTCATTGTTGGTTTCTTTTCATCTCTTACTGCAATCAAGTAGCTCCTTCCTACCCATCCAATCCATCCAGCAATGTACAAGAAGAGGATCCCTGGTGTGATGAACTCACCCCAGTGCCTTTGGTCACCACTCACAATCAAGTGTGGCAGTCCATCTGATCCACACAACAATCCTTGTTTACCATAGTTGTCGAACCTGTAATGACAATAGTTGCGTGATTTTGTAAGTGAAATAATTGAGTGGATTTCTGAGATAATTACCTGCGTTTAGTTTTTTCAATAGTGGCATTAATAGCAAGTGCAGGGGCGCTATCAGGTGCATAAAGCTTCAAAGAACTCTCAAGTTTCTTGATCTGTTGCTTCTCCCTCTTAGCAAACTGTTTTGAATCCTTGCAAGGTGTGAGCCCAGAGATGTCAGCAGAAGCTGGAAGAACTGGTGCTGACAACAGAATAGAAGACAAAGCAAGTGCTGCAGAGAATGCTTTTAATGAAGATGAACTTTCCTCTGTTGAATTAGAAACAGGGGTCTGGTTTGAAGAACACACAATGCTTGAAGTTCTTTGTTTTGTGGTAAATTGAGACCCAAACTTAGATGTTGAAATGGGTTTTGAAAGGTTTGAAGGAATAGTAAGAGACATGGTGTTTTTTTTTCCTCTCTTTTGTTTTTTCAAGAAAACAGAGACGAAAGAAGGAGAAGATTGGAGTGTGGAGAGTGAAAGGATGGTTTTTTAGGATTTGTGGAAGAAAGGATTGGTGATCAAGAGAGAGGATAAGGAGTTGAAAGGGAGCTTAGGTGGAGGGATTTGATTGGCTAATAGAGTTGGATTTGATGAGTTTTGGGGATTTTTTGATCCATCTGTGGAAGAGCAAGAACCAGGGATTTAACAGATACAGATATTATGCTTTGGATCATGTACACTTTTGCCACACTAATTTGGGATAGTCTTTAATTTTTGTCCGTCGCGGTAAATAATTCTTTGCAAGGTATAAGTTTATAATTTCGTATCATAATAAATATCTTCGTAAATGACTTCAGTTTTTGAAAAAAAGTTTGTAAGTTCTAGTGCTAAAGAACAAAAAACTTAGAACCTATTTATTTGAAGAGTAGAATTAATAGATCAATACAATTTTATGATTTTGAGCAAACTGGCCATGCACTTCATGGGCTCTCAGCAAAAGCATATTTCCATATGGATTTAAATGTAAACCAGTCCAACAGATTCAATGAGCCCATGTGTTCGAATGAAATTTTAAATTTGATCTATGTACTGAGGGAACCATATCAATGTGCACACCGTGATCTCTATGCTGCTAAAATTTTGGTCATGAAGAAGCATACTATATTATGGATTTATGTTTCCATTATTGGGCCAAGAGTAGTTAGCTGAATTGTAGGCAATGGGTTGTAATACAGCAAGTTTTGACGAAAATAAAATTCATGAATTTTCCAGTTCGTTAGAGTGGGGCAAGCACCTTGACGAATGATATCTTTTCATCAACTGGTACCCTTGTCATGTTAAGCTCTCCATGTAGCAAATGTCATCTTCAAGGATACTTGTTTATGCCATATTTTTTGTATCCCATACTTGATTCTTTTTTCTTCCATCTTACGACCTCCCATGTTCATCAAACTACTGAGAACTTGCCCATTCATGTTAGCAGGAACAAGGTAATGTGTTTTTTGTGCTACCACATGCACTTTGGACTGTGGTTGGAATCTCCACATCTATCATATCATACTGTAAAGTACCTCGTTAAGCAGGATATTTCGGTTTTGCTCCATCAGGTAAATGACTACAGAGGACAATGGGGCTCTATTTTTGTTCAGTTGGCATACCAGAATGATATATTTCCCTTTCCAGGCAGACATACAATATTTTCTTTAACTTAGAGGTTTATGTCACAGAGGGCTCTCCAGCCGCATGACTGGCCTGAATTATGCACACCACTACTTGTTGACCTGATTATGTTTCATGGATCATACATGTGAAATATTTTTAGGGTGGCATTGATATTTGAGCATAGAAACCTCTATCAATTGTGATACGATATTGAAATGAACGACGAGCACACTCTTAGTTAATTATATTATGTCACAACATTAAATTGGAGACACTCATTTAGATGCCTGATCAACTTATCAAACCGTGAGAACAATTTCCAAACGAATCATAAAAAGAACATTAGACAGTGAACTAGCCATCATCTAGCAACACATGGTATAGAAAATTCACAATCTTTCATGGATATAAACAAGTGAAAGTATAATTCCACGAGTCTCCAACAAGAGAAATTTAAACATGGGTAATCAAAATTAGACATTAGGGTCAATGAGGTCTCCATTCAAGTACTCTCTGTAAGCAGCAACAGGCCAGATGAAGCCTCTCCAAACGAGTCTATTAGCCAATGGAACATCGATGATGATTTCCTTCATTGTTGGTTTCTTATCATCTCTTACTGCAATCAAGTAGCTCCTTCCTACCCATCCAATCCATCCAGCAATGTACAAGAAGAGGATCCCTGGTGTGATGAACTCACCCCAGTGCCTCTGGTCTCCACTCACTATCAAGTGTGGTAGTCCATCTGATCCACACAACAGTCCTTGTTTCCCGTAGTTGTCAAACCTGCAATGACAATAGTTGAGTGACTTTGTAAGTGAAATGACGCTAGTTTAGTGGCTTTCTGATGAATTAAACATCTACTCGAGTATCAAGGGGTTTGTATCAAAGGGTATGTATATTCTATTTTTGTATCAAAGGGTATGTAATGCTCTATTGATTCCACCATAACAAGCTGCTTTTCTTTGATAAGCAAATGTTAATGTACTTTGTGCTTTCGTTTGTAAAGAATGCTTTTAGCTCTTCCTCTACTCCTATGGGGATTAAAGAGAGAAGGCGTTGAAGGTAGCCTCGTTATCCATACTTCTGGTGGGATCAATAGAGCATTAGCCTACCCATATTTTTACGAGAATTGGCAGGTTCTAGATTCTACAGTACTGTCTATCAAGTTTACATACCCCGGTGATCATTGACACCATTTCCTTTTTTTATTTGTTTTAAAATGGAATGCTACATTTTTATATTTCACAACTTTTTAATTCTAAGCTTCTTAACTTCACCATATGCTATCATAACTATAAACATGTACTTATGTCTAAGATCACAGTTCTAAGAATACTAGTCCACAATCAAATACATCCGTGTAAGTGCAAGAAGGGGAAAAAAGAGCAGCCCCGTTACATTAAAGCTCCCGCTATGCACAAGTCCGGTATTTATTGAAGTATTAAAAAAATGATAACTAGGGGTAGAAGTAAACTTTTCAAGATTCCTGGAAATTATGAATAGGAAACAAAGGCAAACCTGCGTTTAGTTTTTTCAATAGTGGCATTAATAGCAAGTGCAGGGGCGCTATCAGGTGCATAAAGTTTCAAAGAACTCTCAAGTTTCTTGATCTGTTGCTTCTCCCTTTTAGCAAACTGTTTTGAATCCTTGCAAGGTGTAAGCCCAGAGATATCAGCAGAAGCTGGAAGAACTGGTGCTGACAACAGAATAGAAGACAAAGCAAGTGCTGCAGAGAATGCCTTTAATGAAGATGAACTTTCCTCTGTTGAATTAGAAACAGGGGTTTGGTTTGAAGAACACACAATGGCTGAAGTTCTTGGTTTTGTGGTAAATTGAGACCCAAACTTAGATGTTGAAATGGGTTTTGAAAGGTTTGTTGGAATAGTAAGAGACATGGTGTTTTCTTTCTTATTTTTAATGTACTACTATTATTTTTCAAGAAAAAATGGTAGAAGGAGATTGAAGTGTGGAGAATGAAAGTATGGTTTTTTAGGATTTGTGGAAGAAAGGAGAGAGGATAAGGAGTTGAAAGGGAGCTTAGGTGGAGTGATTTGATTGGATAATAGAGTTGGATTTTATGAGTTTTGGGGATTCTCTGAAATTTTATCTATCTGTGGAAGAACAACAACCATGGATTACAGATACGCATACTTTCGTGTGGCCACCACATAGGTGAAGAGAACTCTTGAATGAGCAATTATTAATAATATATATATTGGATGAGCATTTACTATTTTACACGATAATTAAAAAATCATTAGTCATAGATTTATCGACATTGTTATTTTGCCGCATGTCATATCAATGAACATAAAAATAAGTTATAAAAAATATTATAGGTTTTGGGTTGTGGGTTGCCCAAGTGAATTGATCCAATTTGATTTTATCCAATTTGATTTAATTAATTAATTGATAATTATGTTTTAAAGGATAAGAGAGAACAATTACAAATTGCTCAACCTCTCCTTTAAAGACTTCTAATG